CCAACCCTTTTCTTATATACTAGTACCAAGGTACCATGTGTTACAACCCATATGGGATATCTCTTAGGACCAGCCCTCTCCTTGTATTCTAAGGCACTATAGACCAGCAACTAACCTTGTAGGATATCCCTCATTACTCATATACTCTATTGACCATTAGCAACAACTAAATGAGTTCATTCCTTCAACAAATTTTACAACAAAAGATTTCACAAATCATTTATTAGAAGTACATACAACAATGAAGGTATAGTTAAAAGAAGCTCAAAAACAACAAAAGATCAATTTGGATACCTATTGCAATGAATAGCCAAAATTTAATGTGGATGATAAGTTGTGATTATTTTATTACAATATCAAGACTACTCATCCTTGAGACAAATCAAACTATTGTAGATTTGGACCTTTTTTATTTGTAAATAAGTCAATCGTGTTTCTTATCAATTATATCTATTAGTGTTATATTGTGATTTGGCTATCATATAAAAATAATATATATATATATATATATATATATATATATATATATATAATTTGTTATACAATATAATGAGAGCCATGTTATTAGATTTTAGTTAGATATCAAATATAATTAAATTACTATTTTAAAGTAGTTTGTCTAAAAAAGGCTACTATTAAGGTTGATTTTATATTGATAATAGTTTTATATATTTAGAGCCACCTTTATTAGACATTGGTTATTCTTAAAATTTAATTTTATTTCTTTTATTTGATATTTAGGACACATATTATATAAAACTTATTACAAAAAGGATTAAAAAAGGATTTTTGTATTAAAAAAGATAGTTAAACCATCTATTTAGATGAATGGAGATGGATGATAAAAATCTTCATTTTTATTGGCCAAAAGTCATTTTTGATGGACTTCAAGGAAGCTACCCAAGGCCTTATTAGGGATTAGGTTTATTCTTTTGAGAACATCCAAATATTAGAGATCAAGGTCATCAAGTTTAGGATTTTGGATATGATTTTGGTGAATATTTTGTATGATATGGAGTTTTTTTGAAGGAGATATAGGCACTCACAATCAAAGTGTTGATTTTATAAATATTGACACTCTTTGGGACATAACATACACATGTAAGGGATTTCTAAGGATTAGATTGTGTAATTAGAAATTTGGTTTAAAGGGCTATATTTTACATTTAAAAAGAAAAAGATTTGAAGTTGATTTAGAAGAACAACAATTGCTTGAAGATAGTTCTTCCAAATTGAGATCGGTCAATGAATTAATTTCATGAGGGATTCAGTTCTAGCCATATCTTAGGTATTTAGACAAATCTTTAGCTAAATTTTTTTATAAATTTATATTACTATATTATAAAGCTTTATACCAAATTTAACTATACTTTAATTTTGAGTTTTTGAGATTTAAAGAAAATAGTATACATGTACTTTTAAATTTAGATTTAGAACATATGCTAGGATTTCTAAGATGCTAAATGATCTACAATAAATTTATGATTCATTTATTTTGTAGTAAAACTAAAGGATAAATTCTATATTATATAGAAATTTGAAAAAAATTAAATAATTAGATCAAAAGATATGAAATTCTAAAGTTTGGAAAAAAAATATCCTTTGTAAAAAAATGTTTTAAAAGGATTTTTTTTACAATCTGAGTACTTTTGCAAAATAAAAGAGATTTTAGGACCTAAGAATTTATATATATGTTAAAGATAGAGACATATATTTATAATAAAATTATGATATAAATATAAAATTTTGAAAGGAGATTATAGATTTACTTTGAAATTATTGAAAATCTAACTTACTAGCAAATGATTAGTTGTGATTTGGTATAGCAAAGGATGTTAGAAATTTTTTAGATGTTGTAGAAAGCCTTATGTATAAATGTTCTTAAATATAAAAGGTTTTTATTGATAGAATATATTTTCATATTATTATATTTATTTATCTTCTACAATAAGATTATAATTCTTATTAGAGTTTGGCCATTAAAATTAAATTCTTTATAGTTAAGTATCCAGTATATTTTTAAATCATACATCATGCCATATGAAATTAGAATCTATAAAGATCCATCTCATATTCTACGTATTTCTTCTTAAGTCATATAAGATAGTAAATATCTTAAAAAGAAGATAAATACACCTCTTTTTATAGGAGTGGATAATAATCAAGACTTTGAGATGGAAGAAGTTTTAGATTCAAGATAATGCCAAAATAGATTATAATATTTTATTCATTAAGACAAATATGATATTGGTGAATGCACAAGGAAGCCAACAAAGAATCTTGCAAATGCAACAAAGAGGATTAAGGCTTTTCAATGTTAATATCCATCAAAACCAAGATAAAGAATAATAAGATTGATGAAAGATGATAACTAGTCCACATGAAACTTAGTCTTATTTTAAGACTTCTTAGTCTTCTTGTTTTTAGCAATAGTGATTCTGGTTTAATATTATATCATCTTTGAGTAATTATCTAGTTTTTTTGAATGATACAAGAGTGTCTTGATTTTTCAATTCTTCAAGATACATGTCCTTGACATATTGTCAAATAATTCAAGTATGACATAATCAACATGTATAGTAAAAGTTTTTGGTGCTAATTCTTTTGTTTCTATAATCTCTATTATTATAATAATATATATATTATATTTGTTATATATAATATATATATATATACATATATTTATTTAATACAATTTATCTATTGCATAATTATATTTTATATACTTAAATAGTATTATCTTATCTTCTATTCCTTTCATTTCTTATCTTTTATTTGATATGATGGTAATAAAAGTATTTTTTAAATATTTTTTAAATATTTTTGTATAATATTTTGATAAAATTAGTAATTTATAAAATAATTATATACAAAAATATTAATCTAGTACATAATAATAGTTAAGAATTTATAAAAATAAATAAATATAATAAATAAATAAATTATTTTTATTAATTAAAATATTTTTAATATTTTTAATATTTAAAATTTAAATTTAAATTTTAAATATCTATAATAATATAATATTACAGTTGAAAAGTAAACATTACCAAAAACAATTTAATCTTAAAAAATTTAGCAAATCTTAACTTATCAATAAAATTAAGTGGTTTTTTTAAAAAAAAAAAAAATTAACTACGTCTTTTTTAAGATTTTATAAAAATAAAAAAAATATTATAAATATATGGATATACATTAATATTGACTACTATTCTTAAAAAAATAAAAATAAGAATAATGAAACTACAAATATATATATATATATATATATATATATATATATATATATATATAAGAATAACTATACATTATTATATTTTGATTTTTAATATTCTTAAATTTAAAATAAAAGCTTATAAACACAATTTGGTTTGAAAAAAAACTCATAATAAATACTAAAATAAGCATTAGAATCACTTATTCCAGTAGTTAATGCCAAATAACTAGCTTAAATTATTTTAGACTTAAAATAATTTAAATAACATATTTATTTTTTGAATTTAAAAAAAATAGTAACAAAATGAGTAATTACTTTCAAGATTTTATTATGCCAATGTTAATTTTTAAAGATATAAAAATAAAACTAAAAATAAATGTAATAAAAAATCATCTATATATATACATAAGAAAAAGATAAATATGAAATTCAAAGTATATATTCAAAAATGAAAGATATCAAAATTTTAATTTTTAAGTTCAAATAAACTATAAATTCTTAAATATCAATTTAAAGAAGAAGAAAAAATTAATAATATTAAAGGACACCAAGTCTTACATCTATATATCTTAGTTATCAAATAAGCTATTTGATAGTTCATAACAACTAAAAAACTTATAGAACATGTTTTAAAGTTTTAAGATTCTTCTTCAGTAGCTTTTTAGATCCATATAGCTTCTAGAAGAAGCTTATAAATTACATTTTACATCTCAAGACGCTTTTAGATCCGAATTGTATTTTAAAAGCTTCAACAATGTATTCTGAGAGAGATCTTACCTATATAACTTATTTTTTTTTATTTATTTCTATTTACTTAAGTAATGTAAATGTTTATGATTTTTTTCTCTTATAGATGGTTTCCACAATAAAATATATTTTTTCAATTTGTCTTATAAGTAAATAAGTTCAAGATACATCAAATAATAGTTTTCTATAAATATTAATTTATATTTCACACAAATTTCATTGATGTGTTTTTTAAGTTATTAATAATTTCTTATATATAGATAAATATCCACCTATTTATTTTATTTTTGTTAAATTTTTCATTATTAGGAGTAAATAAAACATTAAGAATTTCACTAAACAAAGTACCAAGAACATATATATCAACATTTAATGTACAAGAACCGTAATTTGGTTAAACGTTTATATACTTAAATTGACATTTTCTACACCTACTTAATAATTATTCTATAAAATCATAAATCTCATTTTATAACCCTAATTTTAAATACAATATAAACTTCTCCCCTCAAAGATCATCAAGACATGAAACAATGTACTAAGAAAGGTCATTACGACACACACACTTTTTTAACCTCGTTTTCTTTTCCTCTGAAATCACCAAACGGTCGACAAAGATATGTGGGGCTTGAATAAACTAAGTGTTGATCACAAAAACAAAGCATCAATTTATCCAACACACAGACAGTTGTTCTGTATTTGCATGTCTCAATTTCAGGCGGCATGATCATTACGACCAGGACATATCTATGGCACGATATAATTCTACGGAAGGAGTAGATTCAAGGGGAGGGAGTGAATGAATGAAGGAAGGTGCTATAAAATCATCCATCCACGTTGGTGCGAAGTCCAGGACCTAAAGCTGGAGCAACGGAGCCCCCTGCTCTGCCACCATGACCTGGGACGCAGCTCCGATGTCAGAAAACCCGTCAAAATCTGTCCTCCTCCTGCGTGATTTGCCTCGCAAAACTTGCATCATCTCCGCATCTTCCCTCCGACCTTCAAAACGCGCCATTGCGTGCACATTTTGGTGAGAAACTCACCCGTAGCAGCCCCTGTTGCGTTCAGGAATTTTCGCTTCTGTCAGCTGGCAGTGGTGACAGGGATAATTGCAGGGAGGTTTGTTGTGATATTAGCTATCAGGTGTGCGTAATGAACTTTCAGTGATAGAGTCGATTTGCAATGGGCTCGTTTAATAGCGTTTCTTTTCGGTAGCGTGGAATCTGCTGGTACCTCGCCGGGTCAAGTTTGTGGAGGTTAGTTCGCTTAAACGATTTGGAATGAATGAAGACGTGGATGTTGGGAGAGCTTGCGACAATTAGATTTTGTCCGACATATCGTTCCGTTCAATTTTGCGCTACCTCCATTGCACAAAATTTATAGAAATCGGTTTTGGGGAATGGCGTCGGATTGATGATTCTGACCATGTTCCGTTCGGAAGACGTTGGGCCAAAGTGTCTTGTTCTTAATTGTTCAACCGCTGCTGTGTGCAGTGGTGCGTACTACGTGCTTGCATCTCCCCTAAAATTTGTCTGTCAATATTGCAGGAAGGTGCAATTTATCGTGAAGTTGCCGGAAAGGTTTCTTTTGAACGCGAGTCCATGGTGAACACCGTAGTCCTCGTCCCACATTTTGATAAACCTCAAACCCTAATTGGCTATGGAAAGAGTTAGGTCTTCCATTGCACCGTTTTGGTGCAATTGTTTGGATTCTTATCCGAGGTTTTCGAAAACTGTTGGCAGGGTGTTCGTTGCAAATGTGAAGTGGTTGACTGAGTGGAGCGGGGGATGGATGCTTTAGCTTCATGGCAAAAGTTGGCGATGCATGTGGAGGAGTGGAATTTGGTGGATATTGAGGGTGTTGGAAGGAGTCAGCAGAGGCTAAAAGAAGCCGAAGTAGTATGCGGGGGGCGCGTTTGAGTAAAAGATCCCGTCGTGCATGCAAGTCTATGACCTCGGGGCGTGCTGTTGGCTGGTTTGGATTGGAATGTTGCATAGTTTTTGTGCTCCGAAGAAGCGATGGAGGAACATGAGTCTGGGGATAGGTCAGATACAATTGTGTCTGCACAGATGGTCCCCGGCATCTCTTCATCTCCTCTCATTCCTATCGCCTCCATATTGGACTTACATTACGTTCCTCTTGCAAAACTCTCTACTCCTGATATTGGGTACAAGAACGATTCGGCTACTTCGTCTTCCGAGGTGCAAGATGAAGTCACTTCCGTGGTTGAGTCGTCGAAAATACTTGGCGAAGGTTCAGGAAAAGGAAGGGTCTTGTTAGCTGAGGAGGTTAGCGCCGATGACAAGGTTGTCGAGGACTGCATGCATACCAACGTGGGTTTGGATGAGAGATCAGCAGAAACAGCTACAGATTCGATAGATGTCTTGCAAGAAACCTTTGGCTTGGATAACGGAGTGAAAAGGGAAGATGCTCAGGATCTGGATTTAGCGCCAGAGGACTCTTTAGATGACGACCAACCATTGTGCATAATGTTGAAGAAGGAGAAGTTGAGAAAGCATGGCTCCGGAATGGTTGTTGGTAGAAGGGCGACGGAGGAGTCGAGTTGTCTTCCTCTTGGTGTTCTCTGCTCTTCAGTGAGTTCGCCAGGAACAGGAAAAGTGAAATCCTCTTCTAATTTGTCCATACCAGAGTTGGTTGACGACACCGCTAAGAAAGTTGGACACGATGATGGGGCTGTGAAGGGTGTAACATTGAGGAGTCGTCAGAATAGCGGGCTTCAGAAGAGAAATAGGAAAGGGAGCATGAAGTTGTGGAAGGCTCCTCGACAGGCGAAGAAGCGCAGGTATTTATTTATTTATTTATTATTTTCTTTTCTTTTCTTTTGTAATCTGGATTAGGAAGTTGCGGTTGATACTCTGTTTGTGCGTGCTGTATCATTTCAGTTGTGCCCTCTCCCATCTGTGTGTTTGTGGCCAGCACCTCACACAGTGTCTGATAAAACAGAAGGTTCTCATCGTCGCTGCGAAGTCTCAAAAGGGTTCGACTGCTTGTAAGGGGTGCTCGTGGCTTCCTTCGCTGTTTAATCGCTTTTGAGGGTTAAGTCTCATGGTCTGTATTTCAGGAATGGTGCATGTGAAGTGGAGGCAATTTGTTTCCGTCACTCACAAACTCTCCTGTAAGTGCTGATTTGTTAGGCACGATGATATGGCGTACGAGGGCGATATGGAGTGGGATGTGATAGTGGGAGTGGCAGAGGTCCCATCCGATTGGAATTGGCACTCTGAAAAAGACAGACTGAGCAGAGGGCGCAGCAAGGGTAGTTTGCCGTTTTCCTCTCACGGTCAGATATTTCCTGGGGAAGCTGCGGCGGTAGCGGCGGGTTTACGAGCCCGGACTCTGAGTGGGGCAGAAAGGATCTGCTTCAAGGATGCTTTGAAACGACGTGGGGGCCTTCAAGAGTATCTGGAATGCAGGTCTGGTCTCAGTCTTATGTTAAGTGGAGGATCCTAGGCTTTGTCGGTGGCGCTCTGTTTTGTAATTTTGAAGAGTTGGGGAGGCTTGGTCATGGTGTAGAGGTTTGGATGAGCGGGAGTTTTGATCTGGGGAGGTGGATCGAGTAAGTGATTCCCTTAAGTTGATTTGGCTGGCTTGTTCTGAGAATTGTGGAGTGGCGGTTTCTGACAGGAACTTAGTGTTGGGGATGTGGGAGAAGGACGTGCAGCATTTATTGATGATGACTGACTGCGGCATATCGGAAGAACCATCGATGGGGGAGCCAGCTCGAGCTAGTTTGGTTCGTAGGATATACAGGTTTTTAGACTACCATGTAAGTGTGGCGTGAATGCCGGATCGTGATGCGATTTAGTTGAATGTAGGAAAAATCGCTGTAGTGCGAGGCAGTGGTGCAAGAGCCTATGCGATTTCCTGTGCTGAGCTTGTGTAAATTACCTCTGGTTGCTTTTTCATTGTTTCTAATTCTTAACAGTTAGGTTAGGCGTTGTTAATGTGATGTGCGAAGAGGAAGCACATCTTCATCATGTTCCACAGACGACTTCATTTCATTTCGACCACTGTCCAATAAGCACGAGATTGTGATTTGTTGGCACATTCATAGTAATGCCGACGTCGAACAGGTGGTAGTCGGTTTGGTGACTTTTGCCTACAAATGATGGAGTGCTTTGTTGTGCTCACGCGTGTCAGGGTTACATTAACTTCGGTGTGGCGAACAAGCGGCAGAAGTATGGAGATGTTCACGTCAACAGACATAATAGCAACTCAAGAGGAAGTGAGAATGGTGAGTCAGTATTCGAGGGAGCAGAATTGGACGTAGCTGAAGAAGTGGCACTGATTCTTGGTTAGTGTTCCCACTATTTCACTCTTAAGAGGCGGTGAGGAAGGTAGCTAACGAGCAAAGCGATCGTTATGTTGCTGTACTGCTCCTTTCATAGTGTGTAGAAGTATATGGCTCACGGTTAGGTTCACAAGGATGTAGAGGCGATTGCATTGTGTTCTGTAACCTTTCCAGTGGGCAGAGATGTTTACGATTTCGAACATTCGACAGGTCAAATTCGAGGAAACCCGGACACAGGGACCTCGAAGGAGAAAAGTCATGGCGATGTTTCGAACGGATGTGTAGAGTCTTCCGAAGATGGAGATGGATCAACGGGGATGACGGTAAACGGAAGCAGTCCGATCCATTCGCTGATGAAAGCTGCTGCGGATGGGGAGTCGGTACTCATGGACATCGACGTGGGTTTAAATGTGGCTGTTGTGGAATCCATGTCGGTGGTGGAGCAAGACAACAAGGACGATTGCAAGACGCTGATTTCCTTTACCCAAAGCGTGATTTGTAAACCGGAGCCTGAGGAGAAATGCCAGGACCCTAGCGGAGTGGTAGACAAAGAGATCGACGACATGGCCACTCTGGACCAAGTGTTTGTTCGAAGGCGGCATGGATCGAATGCGAGGAAGGTTAAGGCCGCGGGGTCGGAGTCTGTGAAAGCAAAAGTGTTCCACTTAGCTGCACCAAAAGACGAACTGGATGAATTTAAGAGCGCACAGGTGTTGCACGAACTGCACAAGTGCCATGCACCCATGGAAGGGCTGGTGGCGTTGAGGGCAGCGGCTCATGTGGAGAGGCAGCGGAGCTCAAGAGTGAAGCAGGAGGGCGCGAAACGGGTGATCGTGGTAGGTGCGGGGCCCGCAGGACTATCAGCGGCTCGACATCTGCAACGGATGAAGTACCAAGTGACGATCGTGGAGGCTCGGGATCGAGTGGGTGGGCGTGTGTACACGGACAGGACGACATTTTCTGCGCCTGTCGATTTGGGGGCGAGCATCATCACGGGTGAGAAAGAGAAACTTCTTTTACGGAAGTGCGCCGCTGTGAATAGGCGTGTGGACAGTCATTTTACGCAGGTGCATTGTTGTGCTACTGGTTGACATTGACGTGCTTTGATGGCGTCAAGGCTGGTTTGTGTGGGCGGAACATGGAACAGTGACTGTCGTCTTTGATTTGCATCTGCTGTCGTGTGTGTTAGAACTTATGCTGGGTAGACGTTGGTGTTTGGCAGGTGTGGAGGCTGATGTTGCGACTGAGCGAAGGGCTGATCCATCTGCACTTTTGTGCAAGCAGCTGGATTTGGAGCTGACGACGTTGCGAGGAGACTGCCCGCTATACGACTCTGTGAGCGGAGCGAAGGTTCCTGCGGACGTCGACGCCGCTCTAGAAGCCGAGTACAACAGTTTGCTGGACGACACGGTGTTGATGGTTGCCCAGAATGGGGATGCTGCGATGCGGCTGTGCCTGGAAGAAGGCCTGGAACAATGTCTGAAGAGAAAACGATCCGGACGCTGTAGTGACGAACGTGTTGATGTCTCGAAGACGGAGGAACGGTCAAAGGAGAGCAAAATGGGAATTAAAAGTTCCTCTTTCGAAAAAGTGTCGATGGAAGAGTCGGAGAGGGTGGTAACAGTGACGGCAAGTGAGGTGGTTGGTGAGACGCTGACGACTAGCGATCCATCGGAGAACCTGGCAATCGCAGAGTCTGCTGGCGAGGAGAAGGCTTGTACGAGGTTGGAGGTGGTGAATGAAAGGACGACGGGCGGCGAGCAGGAGAGGGCGGAGAAGGGGGATCTTAGCCAGATGGAGCGGCGAATTATGGATTGGCATTTCGCGAACCTGGAGTACGGGTGCGCGGCGGAGCTGAAGGAGGTGTCATTGCCTTACTGGAACCAAGATGACGTGTACGGGGGATTTGGAGGGCCTCACTGCATGATCAAAGGAGGATACAGTCAGGCGATGGAGGCATTGAGCGAAGGTCTCGACATCCAGTTCGGAAGGGTGGTTACGGAGATCAGCTACAGCTGCAGCGAGGTGAAGTCGCGAGGCGAGGTGAATCGGGAAGTGAGGGTGGTGACGGAAGAAGAGGAGTTTTTGGGCGATACGGTGCTAGTGACGGTACCGTTGGGGTGTTTGAAAGCTGAGACTATACAGTTTAGTCCTAGTCTTCCAGAGTGGAAGACGGCATCGATAAAGCGGTTGGGATTCGGGGTGCTGAACAAGGTGTTGTTGGAATTCCCATCGGCTTTCTGGGACGAGAGTGTGGATTACTTTGGAGCAGCGGCGGAGTGCAGCTCGGCTCGTGGGAAGTGTTTCATGTTCTGGAACCTGAAGAGGACCAGTGGGCATCCGATCTTGGTGGCACTGGTGGTGGGTAAGGCGGCAAAGGAGGGGGAGAAAGAGGAGAGCGGGGAGCTAGTGGAGCACGCAGTGAAGATTCTGAGGAGGCTGTTTGGAGAAGAGGCGGTGCCGGACCCGGTGGCAACAGCAGTGACGAGATGGGGAAAGGACCCTTTCAGTCGGGGAGCTTACTCGTATGTAGCGTTGGGGGCGTCAGGCGAGGATTACGACATCCTAGCGCGCCCGGTGGACAACTGCGTGTTCTTTGCAGGGGAAGCGACGTGCAAGGAGCACCCAGACACAGTCGGGGGTGCGATGATGAGTGGGTTGAGGGAGGCGATAAGGATGATGGATATAATGGAAAATCGCGGGGACAGCATGGCAGAAGCGGAAGCACTGGCTGCTGCCCAGCGTCAGTCGGACAGCGAGAGGAACGAGGTTGGTTGTCTGCTAGTGGAGCGGATTTGATATTGTATACTCTGGATGTGAGGATGGGAGTTGCCGTGAAGTGTTTGGATGTCTGAGTATTGAGATGGTTGGATGTTTGAGTGCGTGCTGCGTATGTGCAGGTGAGGGATATGATGAAACGGTTGGCAGCGGCGGAGCTTTCGAATGTACTGAGGGCAGAGACGGGAGCAACGTACGAAATGGGCCCTCTGAGCCGCGCAGATCTTTTGAAGGATATGTTCGGTAACGCAAAGACCACAGCAGGACGACTTTTCCTGATTAAGGAGATGTTGCAATTGCCACTATTTCCTCTGAAAGCTTTCGCTGGGACGAAATCTGGACTGGAGATTTTGAATACCTGGATAATGGTACGTCTCCACTGCCTCGCACGTTGCCAATCAGATATGCCTGCCGTATACGCTCTTCGATAAGCTTACTTGGTTTGGAGTGATCGCCGTAGTCTTTGAGGTACAATGCCTGCCTGATGTGTGTACCCGTTGCGGTGAGGGGTGTGGCGAATTGAGATTTATTGCAACTCTGTGTGTCACATTTGTTCGTGTAGACACAGGCAGCAACATGGGTTAATTATGCTTCTTGGGTATTCCGTTTCGTGAAGATATGATAAAAAGCACTGTGGAATCTCACGTCATGTGGTCACCTGTATCGTTGAGCATGAGTATCGTGGAGACCACATGTTTTTTTTGCAGTTCTGATATTGTTGTGGTGGGATTTATGTGTCTGTGCAGGACTCGATGGGCAAGGATGGGACTCAGCTACTTCGGCACTGCGTTCGACTGCTTCTTGTGGTGGCCACTGACCTACTTTCTATTCGTCAATCGGGTACTGTCATGACTTTTTGTCGTCTTTTCGCAACCAATTTGGTCAGATGCGGTGGAATCCAGTGTCGTTAATTTATCTTAGGAGGTTGTAGGTATTTGGTTCATCCACCTCTGCATCTGTTTGAGCACGATGGGTGACATGCTCATCAAGATAAATTTTTGACTTTGTGTTTGGTGAAGGTGTGGGCAAAACTGTGAAGGAGAAGGTGTGGATGCACACAAGTCGTGATATTCGAGCGGTGGCGGGCCAGCTTGTGAAACTCTGGATGGAAATTTTCAGACGGGAGAAAGCACAAGGGATGATTAAATCTATCAGGAAGTCTGTTGGAAGCTCACCGAATGTTTCTACAGTTCATCCGATTGCGAAAGTAAAAGATGCCCAAAAGTATGCGCCGGGTAGCGGAAAGATGATACCTTCACCCTCTGGCGTTTCAAAGTGTAGGCCTCCCAACCAACCTGCTTCACCTAATGGCGATTCTCCGTCAGGTGGACAAAGCAAGGTACGCATCTGGAGTCGGATCAGCTCCTTTTTGAGTCTTGTCATTTCGAAATTGTGCACCACGAAAATGATGATATGGAGATCTGTGAACTTAGTCACAGTAAATAACGATGGTTGTTAATAACGTATCATATGTTCTGAGAGCACATATGGCGTTTTTGCAATGGTCTAAAAGGATTTAGTGGTGGAAAAGGTCGACTCCGTTCTGAGTGATGCGTGTTATTGTGTATGTTATTCCTAGTAGTTAAGCATCTTGATAGGACACTAGTGTTGTGTAAAATGCTTTAGACCCACTTATCATGTAGGTATCGAACGGCGAGGAGCTGAGGAGCGATGAGCCCAACGTGCAAGGTAATCCAAGCACAGAAATATGGAGGGATACAGAATCCAGAAATGCGGACAGGCCGTTCTCCGACTTGGAGATCAAGGCCATGGAGACCGCAGAGCAGGCGCGGGCTGCAGCAGCTGCAGCTGCAGAGGTGGGTTGTAGGTATTTGGTTCATCCATTTCGACTTTTGTGGATTAAGGCTCTTTTTAATGTTGAGACTGAGAAAAAGTAAGGTATAGTGTTGGCGCTGGAGTGGTTTGAGATGGGTGCAGTATACCAGGCTCTGCGGTATAGGTAGCGACCATGAGAAGGCTTATTACATTTGCTAGCGTATTGAGTCGCGCTCTAATCAGCTTGGGTTGGGTTGTGATGTCTATAGGCATATGCACAAGTGGAGGCTCAGCGAAATGCTCTTCCACAATTGCCAAAGATTCTATCGTTTCAAAAATTTGCAAAGCGTGAGAAGGAGGATTATGTTGATTGGAAGACGAAATGCTGGCTTGGGATGGCAGACAATTCTCCAGCATCGACAGCCTTCAACCATCTACCAGGTATGGATTGAAGTGGTCATGTCGCTTTCGTCATAGACGACGCAGTGAATTAGCTAGGCTAAGGTGGAAGCAAGGGAATATTCGTCTCATGGTTGTGTGAAAGAGTCAGCCTTTCTGTAAGTTGCTTACGTGCTTCTTCTGCAGCAGTCGTCTTTTTCTTTTAGTCGATGGCACATGTTCATCATTTTAAATTCAGCTGTCTCACCTCGACAGGTGTGTATTTTGTAGTTTTCGGGTGCTGTTCATGTGATGTACCTCAGTGTTTCATAACAGGATTTTTCTTGACGATTTCATGGAAGCATTTTCCTCGACGAATCGTTGTAGCTTCTGTGGTGAACTGACGTTGGCTTGGACGTAGAAGTAAGCTTGTTCATAAATTAATCCTAGACGCGTTCTGTTGTGCAGCTTTCGAGCGGACAGGGGTTCAAGAAATTAGCTGCGTGTCGAATGGTCTGATGATTAGCGATGATGCCATTGGTGGCCTTGATCAGAGTGCGCTCCGTAAGCACGGGGAGGGATTGGTCTCGTGTTTGCCAGTCATTAGTGTCGCAGCGACCGACACGAATGGGCACTCTGAAGTCCCCCCCGAAGGTTTAGGAGCAAGTGCAGATCTCGGAAAGACCTCGATGGATATTGTGATTTCTTCCAATTGCGTAAGAACCGATTCGTCGTGCGCAGTAAGAGAGGAAGCTGTTAGTGGAATGGAGAGTCTGGCGGGAAGAGTGGAGGGCACAGGTACAGCGTCACCAGACGTGGTATGTGTGCAGCTAAGTGCCGCACATACAGACAAACGGAAGGGGGCAGATGCTATCAAGAAGGCGGTCTCAGATTACGTGGTTCAGCTTTTGACTCCTCTGTATAAGACCAGAAAGCTAAAGAAGGAAGACTTCAAGTCTATTGTGAAGAAGTCGACTGCCAAGGTGGGGAGCGTCCTGGTTTGTAACATTGGAACAGGCTGTTGGTTGAATTGGTAGTTACGTATCACCTAGTAAAAATGCTTGCAGGGAAAAGGTGTTTGGCAATGGGTCGAGGGACTTGTATGTGATGGGGTTATTAGAATGAGTTTTTTGACCTTTCATAATAGCTGATTGGTCCCGATTATGTAGGTGATGGACCGGAACACTTCAAGAGACAACATCATGGACGTCTCTGAGTTTTTGAACTTGAAACGGAAAGTTAAGGTGAGGCTAGGAATGCTTATATGCTTCCGTCTTTTGTACTGGAAGGTAGACTATGTGAAGTCAGGTTGAGATGTGTTGGGCATGGCAAAGCTGTTACCTTACCTTGAGAGCCGAGCGGTTAACTAGTTACAGTAGCATGTGAGATGTGTGTTAGAGAATGGAAACCTTAATCTTGTTCAGTACGTAATTTGAAATAAGGCGGGATTGTGAATGCCTGTAGAGGAAGTGTTGTGGACTGTCGTAGGTTAGAGACATACACGTGAGGATAAATGGGTTGTGGTTAGTGTTGCGCTTCGAGGACTGAGTAAGTTTGGTGGTTGTTGGATTGCAGATACGGTCTTTGGTGGACATGTTTATAGAGAGACACCTGAAAGGTGATTCGCATTGATGGATGAGGAGCACTTCCGTGATGGATTGCAGATATAGGACGAAGATTGTGTCAAGCAACTGTCTCTTCATGTACTTCTGAGTACTACTGTATGATCATGTGAGTCTTTATAGAAATTTGTTATTTATTTTTTGCTTCACTTAAATTCTCTCAAAATTTGAAACGAGTCTCCAGTGTGCCTACACTTAAGGCCCTGGTTAAAGACGTTTGATTTTCCTTTCATCTTCCTTTTTGAAAGGGTTCGCTTCCTTTCTATAATCATGTCGCTAAGGGTAGCACAATTTAAGACAGTTGTAACGAGAGCTTGTAGAACTGGTTCACCAAAATTCTCTATTTGGAGGAATGCTTAAGCGGTTGTAGGTGGCGATGTCGGCATCTAGTGCGATTTCATGTAGTCTCAATTATATTTGTACTGTGAGAAGCATCAAATTAATGGATGGTATCACTGGTTAATACTTGAGTGTGTAAACTAGCGAAGCCAGTATCCACATTCAACTGCGTAAACTTAATGTCCACCGGTTGAAAGCTGGGTCGTAGCTACCATGCAGGTGCACAAGCTTAAATGAATAAGCAATTTCCACTGAAATAATTTCGACTGATTCACTAAAGATTTCTCTAAACTTCTCTTCAAATTGCCATAGTTACAGATGAAAGTGCGTGAAAAAACTTCACAGTACATTTAGATGTAAACACTACAAGCTCTGCCAAAGTGTGAGACATCCTCCTACGAATTCGCAGTTTATCAATAAAAACAAAACTATCCTCTAAGTCTTAATAGTTGATGACGATCTCTATAGGTAATTTCAAGAAAATGGAATAAATCGCAAGAAAGGAAGACCCGATCCTCATGCTGGCTATCTAACATCTCAAAAAAGAGTGTAAACTCTAGAAAAGCCGTCAACAAACCTCGTGTTCACTGGTTATGGTCTACATGCCAGAACCACTGCCTAGGCCAGGTGGCATACCCAGGCTTTCGGCCAAATTCTTCATGCGCTCCTTCATAGCCTGAAAGAATTGTTGAGAAGATCGTCAAAGCCAGTTGTATACTTATCAACTAACATTCTCTCTTTGCAAATACAGCATCAAGTAAATATGCAACACCTCACAGTATGTAATACCACGAATAAGCCTCTAATATTTATCACATTCCTAATTTAACAGATAAGAGCTTCCTTACAGCAACACTTTTTGTGTGGGCATCCTTGTATGCTTGGTTCACCAACTTTGACAGAGCCTGCACGTACAAAGAGCATTGCTCAACTTCCACATCCTTTCTGACAAACCAAATAAAAAACAAGTGAAACATCAACCACATTCCAAAATCGTACATGAAGACGGGTACTAATTACTGCACTTGAGATGCTACTTACGTCAGCGCCCTTTTCCAAGGCGAGTTCTGTAATCTCAACCCGGACAGGTTCTTGGTTGCCTGATAAAGTCACCTTCACAAGCTCATCATCAGAGTAACCGTCAAACTCCGCACTGCAAACACAAGAAGTCTGCACTATTCAGCCACATGATGAACGTTATTTGATTACACTAAACAGAAATGCAACGTGAAGCAAACCCGTTGGACCGTGTGTACATCAAGTACATGATAAGCAAAATAATATATTAATTTTGTGTAAGATGATCTATAGAATTTTGTATTCAACAAAAAGTTCTTGAATTTAGTTGTGTCTCTTTACCAATCACTATAAGGCTCCCTATATCATAAGATCAAGAACAAAAATGAGTTAACGAACGTACGCAGCAAGCTCTTTCTGGACGCGGACAGCCTCAACTTGGACTACTTGCTGGGCTTTCCTCACTGTATCGTAAAGACCCTGCATGTTCCCCAACATGTTTCCTAGTCCCTGCTGCAGTACAAAGAGAAGAGAATGTTACTAGGTTATGTTAGTGATAACACAAACTAGATGACACATATAAAGATTCCAGAGGATTAGTTTCGGCCGCCTAAGTGCAGAGTAGTCTGAAGCCAAAATGCTAGAGATTACAGTGAAGACTTTCGCCTTGTCTCATAACTTTTCACGAAGATTTACAGAGGCCAATGGCATGGCGCAACAAAGGACCAAATTCTAGATTACTGTGAAGGTGATCAACCTCAAGACTTGCAGAGCTGGTCTGATTTAAGGAGGCTTCCTAGTCAATGTAGATGACGCAGCATTGTAACAACAAGTGATGATAGTTGCACGTATGAGGAAGTCACCTTCTTGGCAGCTTCATCTGAATTCTCCTCTTTTTTCCCACCCCACAAGCTAGTAACACTTAGAGAACGCTGAGTAGAGCAGGTAGGTTCATTCCTTCTCTTCAAAAATACATTTGCAATCCTAGAATCTGCACAGGACATATAGGCGCTAAGTCCTAATCTTGCTAAAGGAACATACATAAAAAAATACAACCGATTGCTCACTGCATTGCAAGAAAAGAGCAGAGTAATAGGGCTGCTAAGAAGCAGAGTGTAACACAATCATAAATCAGCAGCTTCTTGTTCTCTATTCACTAAAGAACTCTAAGCCTTAACAACAGATCCAATTTCTAAGAAAACAGCACATCATTTACAGATTTTTCTGTGACTACTTCACATACACAGAGGTGCCCTAAGAAGGTCAAATTGAAGAGAAGCAAAACATTATCACTCCCACTAAGCCTCCAAAGAATCCGGAAACATTTCTACCAAATAACCAACATAAAATAAAAATAAATAGAGCTTCTCAAACCTCACCCTGCATAAATTAAAATTTCAATTCAAAAATATTTTCATGAACTCATCATAATAATTCTATTATACCAAGTGTAACCTGGCTATAGGTTACGCATCCACGAAAATCACCGCAACATCTAATTAAATTCACAAAGTAAAACGCAAATAAGCCAGAAAAAAAATATTAGTTCATCGTTCTACTTCTCCACCCCTCCAAAACCTTAACAACCCAGTGAGCCAGATCAACCACATAAAATCTGAAGAACCACTAAATCTGCAACTGCCAGTCCACAAAGACACAATCTCGTATACATTCAAATGCTACCGCTTCCTACAGATTCACCTCCAAAACCCAACTTCAGAACTCTCGTTTAAAAAATCCGCCTGAGACTTACAGAAGGTTGAGGAGGAGGAGGAGGAAGTAGAAGCTTGGCTGAGCTGCTGGAAAGCGGACACTCCCGCGACAGCAACGCTGACACAAGCCATCACTAACTACTATCTGCAATTCAATTGCTCTCTTCTTCACTCACTCTTTCCCTGCTACACAAGCTCTTCCACCCAAAATGGCTATGGCGCATGCTTCACCACAGTCGCACTGAACGCCTTCCAAAACCCAATTCATCCTGCAAGCTTTAGAGATGGAGGGATAAGGCAAACGAGAGATAGATTCTGTATGCTTTCGTCTACGCTTACCGTAGCTTCACAATGTGGTACAACATATATAGTATCAAGTTGAACCATACACGATTGTTTTTAGGGCAGTACAAATAAAAATTCAAAAGGACCTATTTCATAGAAAATTTTCAGTACAATCAGCAGCAAGCTAAGAAATTTCGTACACAAACGACCATTTTGTATTCTTATTTAAATCATTCGTACACAAACGACCATTAGTTCCCGCGAAAATCCAACTGTCAACTTACAAGAGACTGATGTCCACGTTGGTAGTGCCACGGTGGCAATAAGCTGAGCTCATGATGTTGGACCGTCGAGGGAACGTTATCTCGTATATCACGTTCTCGAGCTTAAGGAACGTGTTCTCGACCAGCCGTGTCATTCCCATCCAATTCGTTGTGTCGCCCTCACTTCGCTCCGTCCGCTTCGAGTACCGACAGGGCAAATTCACATGACGCAGCACAACAAGGAATCGATTCTCGATGTGGGTGTTCGGAATTCGTCAAGGATGGTGCAGTGCTAAAATTTGCAGACGAATAGAAGCCAGAGGAAGCAGTCTCATCGAAGGACGCTCGGGCGCTGGATTTGGGAGTCCGTTTTTCAGACGATGCAAACTACAGTGAGCAATGCGGCTCTGAAACAGCCAGGTGATGGCGTATGCAAGGACGGAGCAATACAAGGTGGAGCTCTGAACGGATCGTAGCGCGTCAGATGGGTTGAGTAGCCTGAAATTGGAAACTGATTCATGTTTGTAAAGAGTTTGGATGTGGAAGGGAGGGATTTGCTGTTGGTTTTAGGAATTGGACGTTCGTGCATATCTCGCAGTGAGTGACTTGTGAAAGGTCCCTGAAGGTTTTTGAAGAATGGAGCTGTTGAGATGATCAACCTTCAGATTGCTGAGTTTTTAAGAGGGGTATAGCACGTTGTTTCCTTGTAAACATGAAACATTCTGGGAACTCTGATGGACGTCTTCCGACGTCTGTATATTCTGTTTGAATGTAATTAGGTCATCGTAGTTTTGGGACTTCGGAAACTATCCTCCCTCCATTTTACACATGCTCGTGCACTTGTAGTATGTGGATGGAGTGAGTTTGAAACTTTGCTAGAAATGGCGGTAAAATAGAGCAGCTGGGTGGATGTTGTATTTGGGAAGATATCTGAGTAGTTTTAATTTCGACTTAAATGTTTTTAAACACTAAAAATGATGAGTCCTGTCCTGCAGGTTGCAAAATGTGATTTGGAGGCGTGGCAATTGTCGGCACAACTCTTTGTCTCAGGATCTCCGAATCGGGGGATAGAAATTTAATTGGTTTTCAGACGGTGCATGGGAAAAACAACCATGAGAAGGAGAGTAGCTCGTAAATTCAAAACCCAGGGAACATCCTCTGAACTCTCTTAAAGCAGAAAGGCAACTGAACATCAAATACAACGAGTTATACTGTATATCTGTTCGAGACTTTGATGCTTGCCTTAAATCTTGGACTTGTGTGGATTGATATAACCTAATCTGCTGGCGATGCATTTTGATAGAAGTTCTCCTTCGCAAGGAGAAGGTGCTTCACCAGGTGGCAGGTATGGTGTCAATTCTTCATAGTTCTTGTATAAAATTAACTTTGAAAGTGATGCACACGACGTAAGATTGAGCACTGATCGGTGCCGAATGTTTTCGCGGTAGAATCTAAGGTATGATACGCTTCTTACAACGCACTCTATCAAGACCAAGGCCGTTACATTTGGCATTCTTAACCTCCTAGGGGACGTTTTCTGTTGGAACACCCATTCTGTTGGTTCATCATCGAATGAATATTGTATGGATGACCTGAGATCCGACATTTGAGCCAAATACTCAGATCTCTGTGTACTTAAGCCTGTGACAGCAGTCTCGTAGCAAGCAAGTGAGCCCCTTCCTGTTTTGTTTCTTTCATTTATTATTGCCTCATGGTATCAGAGCGGGAGATCTTTCCTCTCTTTCCTTTGGATTCTGCTTTTGTGCTCACTTACTTCCCTTGGTCACACTAACCACTGTACTTGTCCAAACTTATTTTTTCGATATTTTTTTTTCTCACTTGGTTAAGGATCCATTTTCTTTTCTCTTCAACACTTTTCAACACCTGTTCTCATTTTTTCATTTTCGATATCTCACAGTCTCTTACATTCTTTTCTTACTCAAACTACTAGGTCATATTTTTCTTCAGTCTAGCAGCCCCTGGATAATCAATCGTTACTTAACTCTCGTCTTATCATTAATAGTAGTGTTTCTTTTCTTTTATTTTCTTTCCTTTTTAAATCTTTCTTAGTCCTCTTGAGCAACATGAGCAACTTCAAAACCATCTGCTCAAGAGAGACCATACTTATAGGTCCAAAAAATTGCAAACATTGGGCTATCACTTTCCAAAGTATTTTTGAGAAAGAAGATCTCCGAGATCTTATCAAACCACAATTATCACTTATCAAGACATCCTCCATTGAATCCAAAACCAAGATGGTGTCAAGTCCAAATCAATCATATCCTAATATCACTCGATGGTAGAAATATAGAATTTAAGCCATGATTTAGTTATCCTTAGTTCCATATCTCTTCTACAATATCATTGTCAAATTAGATCCACTCAATGTTTGGCGAACTCTTAGTATCGTATTTAATACAAACACCATATCCAATATCATGATTATATTAAATTGTTGGAAAAATATTCAAATAGAAAATTATCAAGATGTTACAACATTTATGTAGCAAATAAATGACATAATTTGCGATCTCATAGCCATCAAACAATTACCATCTAACTAAATTTTAGTGCATCAAATTCTCAATTGATTCCTTGTAAATTTGATAAATTAGTGTCTCAAATTGAGTCCTAGAAGAAATTCTCAATTTGCAAGAATTTTAGAATAAGCTCTACATAGAAGAAACTAATGTTTTCTTACACCAATCACATGACACTTTGGAAGAAGCATTGGTGATGCATATATGAAACTTGTATAATAAAAAATTTGATCAAAACATGTTTCACTTTTATAGCTTATAGTAGACTCGACATCTATAATCCCACCTTTTCAAGGAGCTAATCCTTACTTGCTATTGCTATGGCAAGATTGGACATACTTCAAGTTATTGCTGGGCTCTTGTCCTATTGCCTTCTTCTACAAATCAATACGTAAATAATTTAGGATCTTATGCCTTTCAACATAACAATAATCCACAATCTATTTCACAATTAGGCATCAATGTCACCAAAGATCTTTTTGACAAATAAATTTTGTTTGATCCACATGAACCTAATGATAGTGAAATTCTATAAGCATTCAAAGCTCTCTCCATTACCAAACCAGACTCCAACTGGATTTTAGATTTGAGAGCATTTAAGCATTTTTTGGAGGATTAGTTTGCTTTTCAAGAAATCAACTACATCCATGGATCTACTATCATGTTTGTCGATAGTCACTTCTATGTAATTGCATTTTAGATTGATATAACATTCCATTGATATATCCAAAAAATACAATGTTATATCAATCTAGAAACTATACCATATTGTTGCAAAAGAATCATGAGATAAAAACAATAGCCTATACAAACTTAATTACTTCACAAATAAAATCAAGAGCTCATTCTTACACCTAATATATACCAATACTCACTCTAAAATTATTAGTTTCTTTGAAGAAGATAAATCTTTTTTATGACATAAATAACAAATTTATTTGAATTATTGCAGCCGCCAAGCACTCTAAGATTTAATTACAAGCATTTCAAAGTTTTCAATTTCAAGTCACAATTGTCGCACATGTCATGATGCAAAATAGACTAAAACCAATATATCAAAACAACCACTTATATATGCATCTTTTTTACTTGCTGTCATCCATATAGATGTTTGTGGACCTTGTTTTGTAGAATTTATTGGACAAAATTGCTATTTCTTATTATTCATATAGAATTATAGTTATTTTTTTAGATTTATTTTATAAAAAAAAATCAAAAAATAAGCATGTTCAAACGTTTTTACAATATGATCAAAAAACAAATCTCATGTTGCATCATCTATGTGCAATTTGATTGTGGTAGAAAGCTCTTCTTTGCCAAATTTGATTGATATCTTCAAATACTCTAAATCTTGTGTCAATTGAGTGTTGCCCGAACATCCTAATAAAATAGGATCTTTAAGAGAAAGAATCACTATGTTCTTAGTTGAGTTTGTATTATGCTCTTTGGTAGGCATATGTCCATTTTTCTTTGGGCTGAAGTAGCTTGCACAATTGTATAGCTCATGAATTCTTGTCCCACCAATCCCAATGACTAAAAGACTCCTTACAAAATATTTATGAGTAAGCAATTTTATCTTAGCATGATTAGGGTTTTTTATTGTATTTTTTTTGTATATTGAGATCAAATTCAAAGACATAAACTAAAAGCTCAATCCACTTGAGGAATTCACTTAGGCTTATATGACATCTTCAAAGGCTATGAAATCTACCAACTAGATTTTCAAAAAATTCAGATTGTATGTGACATCTCATTTGATATTGATAATTTTTTCACTCAGAAATTTAAACCACAAACAAATGCCTTCAGTGCCCTTGAACTACTACCAATTGTCTATTGGTACAATAACATCAAAATCTATTTTGATGCTCAAAATCCATATTAAGTCTAGTGATTTTTTTGCTTAATCTAAACTCCTATATTGAAGAATCTTCCTAGACTAATACTCAAGTTCTTCACAACATAGATATTCCTTCAAAATATCATCATCCAAATCGACATCTTTTTGTGAAAATTCACCATTGGTAGCAAATTTCGTACCTTACTTACTTAATTTCAATGTAGTAGATGAATGGCCAACTTTTGAAGCAATCAATGATATATCTTCATATGCAAAAAATGATATTGAAACACTTCAATCAAAACAACTCCATTCTTCCATATCTTTTGAATCATTGGATCAAAATTGTTATACCAAAAAATGTCTTATTTGGCTATAAGATTATTTTTGCAAATTTTAGACTTCTCTATTGAACCCAAATCATACAATGAAGTAGCTCAAGATGAAGGATGGAAAAATTCAATGATTGATAAGATAAAATCTATTTATAATAATATAACATGGTCAATCACTACTATTCTTTTAGGACATTAAACTATATCAACCAAGTCAATATTTCAAGAAAAAATAAAAATTGATTTTACTCTACAAAACTAAAAATCACAATTAGTTGTTTGTAGTTTTGAATAGTAAAAAGGCATTGACTACGAAGAAACTTTTGCTCTAGTAGTCAAATGGGACACCATACAAATGCTCCTTGTAATATTTGCACAAAATAAATGGCAACTATATCACATGGGCATTAAGACTACTACCTTTTATGGTGATCTCAAAAAGAAGTCTACATCATACAACCTCAAGGCTTTGTAGTTGAAGGGCAAGAATACCTAGTATACAAACTACACAAAGCTTCTTATTGACTAAGATAAGAACTAAAGGCATGGTATGACAAAATCGATTTTTTTTTTTTTTTAAACTCAAGGATTTACAAAAAAAAGAAAAAGTGACTATAATCTTTATATTCTTGCTATCAAGAAAAAATGCTATTTCTAGTTTTTAATGTAGATAATCTTTACTTCATAGGAAATTGCATCAAATAGATCACATAGTTTAATTATAATTTGAATCAAAATTTGAGATGTTGAAATTAGGAGAAAATGATATGATATTCTATTTCAAGGTTGTAATAATCAAAGTATTGAAAGGACTTTTTATGATACAACAAAATTATGCATTACAGGTAATTTTTCACTTTGGCCTTAAAGGATGTCAATCCGTTTCAACTCTCATAATTGAAAGACCAAAGTTCACTCTTGATATGAATAAAGATACTATTGATCTAACTTATTATTAATCTATAGTTGATAAACTTATATAGTTAGGTATTTTTTGACTCGATATTTCATATTCTATTGGCATTATTAGTCATTTCATGATAAAACCACAAATACTACATTTGACAAATAAAAAAAAGAATTTTAAGTTATATTTTAGGAACATTGGATTAGAAAATATTCTACCTTACAAATTCACCAACAATACTATTGTGCTATGTGGATACAAATTGAGTATGAGATCTAATTGATGGTTAATTAACAATGGATTTTTTAAAAAAATTAAGAATTATTTTAATTACCTAGCTCTCAAAAAAAACAAACCACTATTGCCCTTTCATCCTTAAAAGTAAAATATATAGGCTTGTCCACAACATCCACAGAAGTAGCATGGTTGAACAAACTTGCATGTGATTTTGCACTTAAAATCAAAAACCAATTTCAATATATTGTGAAAATGAAGAGAGAATCAAAATGGCATCAAATCCAAATATCAACCCAAGAACAAGACATATAATCACACATCATCATTTTTCTAGAGAAAAAATAAAAACGAGAGAGGTCAAATTAATTTATGTGCCCTCTCTTGAGCAAATATGTGACATCTTCACTAAACCCTTGGGATGTGGTCTATTTGAGAAATTCAGATCAACATTGAATATCATCCCTATAGGAGAAGCATAATCCTCACCAAACTATTCCCTTCTCATCTTCTCTCTCCATAGCTTTTAGTTTTAG